CATTGAACATGCGCTCTGATGCATTCTCCAATTTTTATGCTGTCATCACCTCTTCAAGCCCAGTGAAGTATGCCTTCACCTTTTTTTCAAAGGTTGCCTTTGCTCTGTACAGATCAAGACTTCGTGGCTTCTTCACCCTCAGTTCAAGCCATCTTGACATAAAGCCACGGGACCACTTGAGGCTGATTCGATGATCTTCACCCCGTTATTAAGACTGACTGCATAATTTGTGGCTACGTCAATGACTTCAGCTCTGCTGTATCCATAGCCCAGTAGAGTCATCTTCTTCAGGTGACTGACCAGGTTGTTCTCCTCGAGGATGAACAGAGGAGCTGGTCCCGACCTGGTAACTTCTGGATCAACTTTCCCCTGAATGTGATCCTGCAGTGTGGTCTCTGGGACACCAAACAACCTTGCAGCGCTGCATACTGACTCGTTCTCCTCAACAACTTGCCTGATGTGTTTGTTACCGCTGATGGTGAATAGTTCCAGGAGGTCACACAGATAATTAGGTGCTGAGGAGTGAATACATTTAAAAACGAGTCTTGCCACAGCAACTAGTCTTGCCGCAGCAATTTGAACTCTTTGTAATTTGTTAAGTTGAACATGTGGCAAATCATAAAACAGGCTATTACAATAATCCAACTTGCCAGTGATGAAAGCATGAATTAAAATAACGAGAATTTTGCGTTTTATGCTATGGAGATGATAAAAGCTAGTAGAACAGACTTTCGTAATGTGGGAACACACAGATAAATTGAAGTCAAACAAGAAGCCAAGATTCCTCCGAATGTTCACGGGCACGATCTTTGTGTTACCAACTGTGATATAAGGAACATTAACTTCGGACAATTGTTGTTTGGAACCAAGGACAATAAACTCAGTCTTATACTGTCATTTAACATCAGTCTGTTATGCAGCATCCACTCTCTAATACCTCGGAGGCAACTCTCCATTGCTCAGACGGCAACCTGTTGATTAATTAAGTTATCAGGTTTAAAAGATATGCAATTGTGTATCATCCGCGTAGCAATGCACATCAGGTAAATGAGTGTCAATGATATAAAATAACCCTGAGGATGAGAGTACATGACGAACAACGGAGTTCCAAGACAGGAATCTTGTAGAACACCACAGGTAAGATCAAACTTGTCTAACTCGGATCCCTGTATCACCACACGTTGACCTCTGCCGATTAGATAAGATGAGAACCAATCCAGTGCAAGACCACATATGCCAAATTTGGACCTATAGTGTGATCAACAGTATCAAACGCAGCACTTTAAGTGTAGTAAAGTAAGTATAACGACATGCTGACTGCTCATTTTCATAAGAATGTCATTGTAAACCTTGATGAGAGCCGTTTCAGTACTGTGATTTTTGCGACAGGCAGACTGAAGTAGCGGACACAGTTTATTAACAGTTGTTTAATCATGCTGTCACAAGTTGGCTCTCGGTTGTCATAGAACCAAAACGACTTCTACATAAAAAATGCAATCCCTTATACAATCAAGAAATTTAAAAAAAAAAACTAAATCAGGCTTAGCTGTGATCTTGATCTTGCTTGATCCAACTTGACCAGTGGACATGGGTGAAGCTCCGAGTCCTTGGTAGTCCTTCGCTAGGTCAATAGACTCACCGATCCAGCATGATGATGGGGAAAAGGGGGAAAGTGAAGACGATAGAGAGACGAACCGGGTCGGCTCCCCAAAGCGACATGACCTATGGGTAAGTACCCTGCACCAACAGAGCACACAGGTCAGTGATGAGAAGGAGAAAAGTTTCAACAACTTTTGTCTAACCAGCAAAGTGCAGACAGCACTTGGAGACAGCCTTCTCATCAGGTCTCAGATCGCTTCTGAGGAGGACAGGGTGACCTGGGCCTCCTATAACGGGTGGGCCATGTGCTCGGAACAATTGATGCAGTATGGTCTTTAGTCACTAAGTTTTCTTGGATAAGGAATGATCTCGTCTTTCGTAATTAAGACTTTCTAAAGATCACGTACCAGGATGTGGTCTCAATTTTATAGTCAGTTTAAGGTTATTCGCCCATTTCTTAGATGCATTGGTCAAGAAAACATATAGTCAGTCGGAAAAGGAAAAAAACACGGGAAAAGTGGAAACACATAGATTAGGCAGATGGTTTCTCCCGTCCGGCCTTCTTGGAGAGGGGTGTGCTGTGGTCAACACACTTCCGTGGGAATGACACTTAGTCGGAACCAACATCTTTAAGTGGCATTCTAACAGGGTCCAACAATGCACTTGGTTAAAAACAGCCCTTTCAATCAATTTTGACACAAATGAAAGATTGCTAACCGGCCGGTAGTTTTCTAACACCTGCTCAAGATGCTTTTTCAAAATAGATGTAACTAAGGACTTCTTCCACTCAGTGGGAAAAGTGCCAGAAGTAAGCGAACTATTGATATTTCTAGTAATAGCTGGAAGTAAGACATCAATACAATCAACCACTAAAGCTGTTGGCATAGGATCAAGAGAGCAAGATCTAAGGGCTGAATCCCTAATAATTAACTGTAATTACAATAACTTTGTCTAATCAACGAAAGCCAAAAGCCATTGTGAATTACCTTTCTTTAAAATGTATCAGTCTACGCCTTAAGCATCTATGTGCTTATATTTTTTAAAAATTATTTTCATGGGAAATATAAGCATATTGCAATATGTTAATTCATCCCATGTGTGATTGCACAACCTTTCAGGTATTAATTTTTCAAGCATTAAGAAAATGATGTAACGAATGTGTATTTTTCGTATGTTTCTCCGCATTCTCAGTTGTCAATTGAGTCACGTGACTTCAGTAATACACGAACAACGTTTTTGAAAAGTAATCTGAAACTTTTAGTGACACTAACGAATATTTTAATTGCCCCGCAAGGTAAAATGTTTTTGAAGCTTGGATACTACAGGCCTAAATACATCAACTTTAGATAATTACGAGTGCAACTTGTCGGTAGGGCCTTAACTTTCCACTTAGTTCGATGAGCGAGGAGAATAGGACTTCTTCGGCACGTTTGGTGGTATTTTGCCTTACTCGAAGCTTACATCGTGCGGCGCAACACAGTAGGTAAGAGTGCGAAAACAGGGCCCCTCGAAATCGGGGCCCCGGGCCCACGATATATGTATCAATATACGGTGTAGGACAAGCGCATACTAGTCGTACTAATCAGCGTCAACACACCGTCAACACACGTCAACACATTGATAGTAACGTCAACACACCACCAACACTTACAAAATGCATTGAAACCAGACGTATCGAACTGTAATGTATACGCTCAGGAATAATTTCTATTTCATCAAGTTTACATTTTACTACATTTCAAGGGTTTTTTTTCACGCAAAAAATTGTCTCTGGGCAGCGCCGCTGTTCGCCGCCATCTTGCCTTCTCACGGCATTTGGACTGAACCGTGGTTTACTGTATAAAGGTGACCCCCGGTAGGGTAATGATATGGTCCGTCTGATCGATGCAACATGGCTACCGGCCACCGTCTTTCGTGGTTGTGCGGAGGGTGTTATTTTCGTGAAATAAAACGGCTCCCCCCCCCAATGTCGCCTACTGTTGTTGGCCAAATTGTATTTTAGGCATAATAGGCCTAATGCTATCGAATTGAGTATTTGTTAACTTAGAAGGTGCTTTGGGTGAGTTGACGGTGTGTCGACGTTGCGTTGACGTTAATTAGTACGATCGGTGCATACAGTTCGGCAATACAAACATTTTACAGTGCTTACCTTAAAAACTTTAAAGTACTCGGGAAAACAGTAAATCGGCAAGGCCTACTTCGTAAGTGATTCGTGTGGCCCTTTTGTAATTAAGGTCTACATGTACGTTTGTAGACCCTGCCAATGTTGACTTGAAATAAAGTTTGTAAAAATTCTTTTGGGCCTTGGAGTTCATGTTTGTTTTTGTTATTAAAATGAAAATCTTTGTTCTTGTGTGAGATGAGACGAGACGTAGAATTTTTATTTTTTGTCTCCTTTCTTTTATTTGGTACAAATTATATATCAACACAACCGAATGTTTTGTTCAACTGTTTGACCCATATGCATTTTTTTGGGGGGGGGAGAGTGGTAAAAATGTTTGTGTGTATGCATAGGGGCTTTAAATTATTATTTTTGTTTGTTTAAACAGTGGTTGAAAATATTAAAGTGAATGTTGTGTTGAAGTGTTGTAATTCCTGCCCTTTTTGAAGGCAGAATAAATGGGCAATCCTTGCTACTGTTGGAGGCACTGATAGCATCCATTGTTAGACCCTGGATGGCGAACCTGAATTTATCCATCAACCTCGACAAGTGGCTGAAGACATGGCAGATCCATGTGCAATGATAAAAACAGAGTATGAATGGAAAAATCATGTGATCTTTCTAAAGTACTGGTTGATCACAAGTTTGGCACTGATTTCTAACCCAAAATAGTCTTAGCTCACTGTCAGCTCTGAAAGAATACTCTGTTATCATTTAGCCTTGGATTTGAAGGTCCCAAGCCCTTAGACAAAAGCAGAGGGAAAACCATTGCTACAGAAGTAAGGAGTGCACTTTATTTTCCTGAGAATGCACCTGCAAGTGTGATGGATTGAATGTGTTGGAAATCATGGAAGACTCTTGACATCGTAAAATTCTAGCCGTTTGTTGAAAAACGTAGGAAATTGCAATTCCTAAGGTTTTTTTGTTCAACACCACTTTAAATGAAAGACAGTAGAGCTTTTTTTTGAAAAAGTACAGTCAACTCTCGACATATTACTTTGTTTACTGCATGACTATCAAAAACAACTTGGAAAAATGTAGAAAAGCATCCATTAAAAAATGGGGATTCAAAGTAGTACGTGTACATGCATTTTGTTTTAGCATTGTTTTTGTGTGATGTGAGTTGACTGTATTCACACCATTATTAACAAATTTGTGGAAGTGAACTAGCAAAGCTACCGAATTGGAAATGTAACCGGTTCACCAAAGAAAGCAAAACTCTCACCAGTTGTTCACATCATTCAAAGACCATGGTTTTTATTTCAGAAGAAGCATTTGTCACATTCTTATACGCAAGAAATTGAAAGCATTTGAGTCATGGGTTACATAAGTTCATATGTGTACACTACTTTGTTGAGTTTTCTGATGTTTTCTGATTTGATTTGCTGATGGAATGCAGTGTTTTCAACTGGAAATTGTCATTGGTGGATTGTACTGTTGAGTTTGCAGTTTTTCCACCCCACCCAAAAAGGATTTCTGTTCCGGTTGGCCTCTTAATGTTCTCTTAAATCAGCTTGGACAGGCAGTCGTGTGAAGTCAACCATGATAGTGATTTCATGAATGTAGAGAGGTTCCACAGGCTACCATTCCCGAGCAGTCACCCCATGTTACGAAATAAAGCTGAGTGCTTGAAAAAAATGAAAATTTGTCCTAAGAATTTTTCTTTGTACCTGTAAACGTCCTGGAAAATTTGGGAAGAAATCTTAATTATGAAGTTCCAAATGAAAGTCCAGTTTTCTTTGAACAGGTATGAAACTTGGACTTGGCAAAAATGAGGAAATTAAAATCTTCACAATGTTTTCCAGTTTTCAATGGCATGAGTGTTGCCTCCTCAGCTGTGTTTGGTAGAATGTGATAAACGTGGGGGTTCCCTGATAGGGGGTTGCAGGATGATGGTGGGCCTCTCCGCTGGTGGGGGCTCTGGCAATGTGAGGGGGGCCGAGGCAGATTGACGCCCATCTCGAGCACCACCTGCTCCTGCCCCTTTGATTTCTTGTTGTGCCTGATTGAAGAAAGAAATGATATGGTTTGAATAGGTGATTGTTTGCTATCAATATAGCACAGACTCTGTTGAACTTTGTACCCTCCTGACATTAGAAACTGTACTTCGTAACCGAATGTTTGGATTAGATCGTTACTTTTCCTTTTTTCCGCATGTCACAATCTCTGGATAAATTGCATGAGGGTTGGCATGTAATAACCTATTTTCACCCAATGACAGTGTATCTTTTTTGTCCCCCTTTGGCGTGGGGGGGGGGAGTGATGGCCGATCAAACATTTCAGTGCTCTCTGCCTTAGGAACCTTTCCTTTTATTCGCATTGACTCACACCACATTAAAATGAATTAACAAATCACACCAGTGGATGAGGGTTCGCTGGTTGATTTCCATCAACAGGACTTTTTGTCGGATGTTTGTGTAGGCCAAATTCTTTGTTTTTTATTCATGACAAAGAAACTCTTATTGAAGACCTCTTATTGAAGAGAATCAACTGTGAATTGGTACATGTATGACTTGTTGACTCGTCCATACCTTCTAGTGTTGCCAATGCCAGCAATCACAGAAGTCCCTTTTGAGTGTTTGAACCTCCCCTTTGAGAGCTTAGGCTGGTGGTGGGGTTTGCGGCGAACAGTCTTGTCAAAACTGTGGAGTGCATTCCACAGTTTGATAATGTTGTCCGAAAGGCTCTGGCTGAAGACACCACTTTCGTGCCGGAACTGAAAGAGGCAGTCTGTGAGAGCCTCCACCCTGTTGTACCCAGGAATGTTGCGTACATCAATGCTGTCGTCCTGCAAAAAAGACAAGAATTGAGTGGAATTTTCAGATACAAAACATGAAGCAGTAGTGACATTTTCTATTTCTGCATACAATATAATGGCTCAAGGTCTGTCCATGAACTCAGTTGTTTTACATTGTACTTACAGGCTCTTCTTTGTAATCAGGTGGGTCCTCAAGCTTCGCGGCTTCTTCGGTGACTGGTGGTACAAGGACAAGGAGAAGTTCATAGTCAAGGGGAGGCTGGGTGGTCACTGGTTGGTCGGCATCTGATGGACTTGGTGGTCTTTGAGACAGCGTGGTTGGCTTGGCTCGGCGTGGACTTGATGAGGCCCTGGGTGCATTGATCTTGCTTGATGACGATGCTGCATCACCTGCTCCAGGAGGATGAATGTCTGTTGGGTGGCCCTGGTTTGGAGTTGGCAGTGGTTGCTCCAGCTTGTCAATAGGCAGCACAACTGGCCGGGAAGTTGGTTCCAATAGGTCTCTTAAATGACATCCTACGGCCCAGCACTGCAGGAGAAAAAACCAAAAACGAGGCAGGCATTTAATTTTTCAAGTACTGTTTGTGTTGTAGGAAAACTGTTACAGTGGTTACAAGAACAAAGAAAAAAACGATACTTACTTGCTGTTGGCGGTACCACTTTTAGGGGTGGCTCCACTGCCTCATCCAGTGGAGGGATGGTGGGGTCCAACTCTGCCTCATCCTCCTGGTAGGCCTCATCGTCGCCATCAATCTAGTCAACCTCAGCGTCACCGGGGAGTACTCTCCAAGGACCGTATTGGTCTGATTGTAGAGGTACTCAACCCCAATGAGCTGTCGTAAGTCCAGAGAAAAAGCAAGATGTTTTTTGTTTTTTTCTTCGGAAGATGCACAGCTAATTTGGTCTGCATGAAGACAATGAACCTACATACAAGAATCTGCCATCACAAAATGGAGTTGTCCAAAGAACTAGGAATTTTATTGCATACCAGTGTACTTCTGGGAGATGCTGTGGGTGGGGTTGATGGCTTTGCCGAGCAAACGTTGTCCCAGTTGGTCCACAGCATGCTGCAGGTAGCCGCTGTAGACCCGGTGTTCAGGGGCATCAGCGGCGATGGCGTCTGCTGCTCGGTCTGTGTTCCAACGGACTAGTCCATCCATGAGATATGCTTGGTAATGCACGTCGTTGGCGGTGGTCCCTGCAAATTTAAGTCCAAAATTTAATCAAAGCTTGGGGTTCCTACTTATATGCCAATGCAAAACCTAGAATGGCTGTGTACAGTAGTGAAAATCTCTATAAACAAAACAAGTGAAGTTTTACCAGGAATGAATCGGTTAAGGTGGTTGTGGAAGGACCCTCGGTAGGTGGGGAGTTCTACAAAACCTATGCAGGCCTCCCCTGTCTTAGTGTACAGTTGCACCCCAAGTGGGTCCTGGATGCAAACGATGTGCTTTTTCTGGGACTCCCAGATGTCCCAGATGCGGGCCGAGTCAAACAGAGGAATGCCCATGGTGTCGCGCCCCTGCTCGCCGTCCAAGGTAGAGATGAGGTCCTTGATGAGGCAAGTAGTCTCCTCTACACCACGGGTTGTCCGTCTGCAGTAGCAGGCCAAGGCTCTCTTGCCCATACTGTTGGTCACGTCTTCATCTGAGGGCCTGCTGATGTTCCGGGCCATCAGCTGATTCATCTTTGCCTCTCTCAGACGGTTGACATCCTCTGCACTCCATGAGAAGATGCGTGCAGAAAGTCGCCACAGGAAGAACGGGTACAGTTGATGGGACTCCGTTGAGCAGGTGGAGGCAAATCTCCTCATGAAGTGCCAGATGTCAAGACGGACTTGCAGATTTGGCCAGCCATTGAAGAGTCCGGATGTCCTTTGTAGGCAAAATAAGTCCATAACTCTGTTGTTACATTTTCCATAAATTGTTTGGTGATATTTGGTTCACAAGAAAGAGAAAGACATTACTAAAATTGACCACAAATCATGCCTGCCTCACCTGGTACCGCAGCAGTCTCTGTCTACGTAAACTACCTCCGGGGGGGGGGGCACACCGGCATCCTGGTACCGCTCGACAAGGCCGCGGGTTATCTTGCGTAGACCTTGGCCTTCTGCAGCTGTCAAGACGCTCATCAGGACTTGGCCGTGTTCATTGCCAACGTTGGTGGCCCATGCTGCGGTACCTCGAGAATGGCCAGCAAGTTTCCTTGCGACCTGCATTAAATATTTAAAGAGAAAATTAGCCTCAAGAAGAACGATACAAAACAGGAACCTACTCTACAAACTCGACTTAAAATATATAGCATTCACAAACTTAGGAAACAATTGCTGGGTTAAGTATGTAAGCGGACTACTACGCTTTTTTAAAGTAACACATTATCATCTTCTTGGTGGAATCCACTTTGAGCACATGCCCAAAAGTAGATGTAACGGCTGCCTTCGTTTCACCGATGCGCTGCAGAACATCAGTGACATAGACTGTCAGCAGCCAAATGTAGGTGGGGATGGGTGTCATGGGGGGGGGGCTTATCAAAGCTGGGGGGGGGGAAATAAGGCCCCGCTCACTAGCCTTGGTAAACTCCTGGCACTGTGAAAGGTAGTGTGCTGTTCGATGGAGCCAGGCTTCACTGTGTTGCTCATGCAGCTTCCTCTGCAGCTGGGAGGGGCTGTTGCCCAGCCCTCGGGACTGGAGGAGGGCACCACCTTGATGTCACAAGCTAGCCTGTAGGTCAAGATGGCAGGAAACTGCACTCAGTGCCCGATGTCCAGCTGCTCCGGGACAGCTTGGCTCCAACTGATGACTTTTTTCTTGCAGTGAGAGCACTCAAGGTACTCGGCTGCCAGGTTGTAGTATCTGTCGATGTCTACAACCTGACGCACGTGCGGGTACATGCCTGCCGAGTAGAGCTCTCGATCACTGCAAGAGGGGGATGGGCAGGTGAGCCGCAAGGCCCACAGTTCCGGGGCATCCAAACAAGGAGGCGGTGGGTAAAGAACTGGGCAGTCTTGGGTGGCTGGCCATGGATGGGCCGAGGCTCGGGGGATGGAACCAGAGGCGATTCACCCGTTGGTAGTCAATCTCTGGTGTCCCCCTCTTCGATGACTTGATGAGGGCCCTGGACACCCAGAGGTGATCCTTCTGCGGCAGTGTCTGCCGCCATCCCTCTGTCAAGAGACACTCTCCGATGAAATAGATAAATCATAAAAATGTTACTTATGCATTTCCAGACAAGTCACTTCCATTTTCTTCTTTTTTTTTACTGACCTTGACTCGCCACGCTGCTAGACTCTCCCACTGAAACTGCTTGGCCAGTAGTTGACGGCTTGAGCTCTAAAGCGGTGCATACAAAGGGGGAAAAAAATGGAACAAATATATGTCTCAAAGGAAAAGGAAGGGGGGCCTCGTTAGTCAGGAATAGCAAAGCGGATTTCATCCCATATAACGGAAAACATAGAACGTGGTGTGGAAGAACTCACCCTGCCCTGCTTCATGGGGTGTGGGAGGGGTCATGAGGGGGTCGACCTGCTCGAGGGCAAGGGCCAGCTCATCCTCGGTTAGCTCATCAGGATGAGCCTTACGACGAGCCTCTGTGAAAACAAAGCAAATACCAAAGAAACATTTCAACAAGTGTAAGCATTAACACACATAAACCTCAATAAACTACAGAGGGACGCACACAATACACACATACCTCACCGTGGTCGAGCAGGTGATGAGGGCACCGAAGGAGATGGAGTACAAATTACCGGGGCAACTGAAGCAGCAGCCGGCATAGATGAAGAAGCCAGCCGGCTGGGACCACCAAGACGTGGCTGTTTCTCCTTCCTTTTCATCTCAACTGCCTCACATCCTTCCGGAAATGACTCGACATACTCCTTCAGTGCAAATTTGTTGGCGCTGATAGGGGATCCACAAGGCTTTTCCTTGCTGACTGATCAGCACAAGTAGGCACAATACCCTAGATCGTTTTCCACGGCTCAGTGGAAGGATTGGCCTTTGCATGAAAAAAAAAAGCAACACAAAAAAATCCCCCCTTTCAAAGAAAGCCAACATCAGTGCATGTACAGGTAACAGTTTATGAATGCAGTGAGCATTACATACCTCCAGACAGAGCCAAGTATGTGTTGCCGGGGGATTTAGAATAAACCCTCTGATCATGTCAAACTTACTTGTCAGCCTTTTCAAATGGAATTCAAGTGTATATGTCAAGATGAAAATAAAGCAACAAGACAAAGACACTCTGGGCAATAGGTTTACATGACATTGTATTTGCAATTAACACAGTTGGCCCAAAACAAAGTGAGATTTCCATTCTTTGTTTTTGCAATTTACTTTGCAACGTAAACTGAAGTTGGGTCATGGCCAAAATGGCAAGCTTGTTATCCACATTGCCCCCCTGCTCCCTCACACGGCGGACTGCATCCTTTCGTACAAGCTCCGGATCCATGCCGTGGGGCTTCAACTTGCCTTGGTGAGCTGCCAAAAAACTCTGGGCCTCCTGACTTGTACCAAGGCTGATCCTGCTCCCTATCCTGCTAAATCATGGAAATGCCATGATCTCTACTAACAAAAAATTACAAACAGAGGCCAGAAGTAGAGAAAGAAAGACTAATTCAAGCACAGTGACATCGAATCAAACATTTCAACCTGGTTATGTTGACCTGTGGGAAGAAAGAACACTGAAAGGAAAAAAGTACAATGAGGCAATTGTCACAAACTAAGTATACATGCTATGCCAGTTTTTCTGTATGCACTAACAACACTACCAAAAAGAAGAAAATGTCAAACAAATATTAGAACATAAGTCTCACTAATTGTGCGGTGGAATCATGAGACGGTAAACATGTTGAGAAGCCGCATTTGACAGTGTAAATATGAACACTACCAGAAAGAAACATCTAAAAAATCAAACCTTACAAGAAAAAGGAAAAAAAACACCCATGATACACCTTAGCTATAGGCTATAGCTTTAATTTACCTCAAGCCTCAAGGATGTGGCACTTAACTAAATCAAGGATTCCTGAAGAAAGAACTTCTGTTACTGCAGCTGTGAAAACAATAACTGCACAATCTCAACTGTCATTGAATAAATTAGACAGCTGAAATGCCACACACACACATTTTTTGGGATTGGACAACTGCTTACCTAGGACAATTTATGGCATGCCAGTGGAAAGGGCAGTGGGGTGGGGGTGTCACCCCATTAAACTTCCTACCCACAAATGGGAAATAAAACTCTCCTGTACAGTCAATATTTACAAGGGCACAAACAAAGAAGAAACAGGCAGTCCAAAAACAATGATGCCTGTGTCAAAGCTGACTGCCAGACCATGGAGCTATAACACAACAATCATATCTTGCACCTCTCTGGTTCAGATATTAAACACTGAGTGGGAGGAAGGCCACATGATTTGTCAGCTAGCCAGCCATGTGTTCACCATTATGGAAGGGGGAGGGAATTGCATGTTTACTTCAGCCTGGCTGGGGGAGGAATGGGACTGTCATTTGTTACAGACCATCTGCTGTTAGGCCCCAGGTCTAGTCAATTCTTTAGAGGGAAATGTCCTTCCCAGTAAACAGTTCGGGTAAAAGCATTTCACACATTTAGGTCTTTGAGGCCAGCGATATCCCCCAATGGTTGCAAGTGCTTGGCTTAAAGCGAATTGTCAAAAAAACTTCAAAGCCAGAGATATATATGCAACCATACGGTTGTTGTGTTTGTATTGCGCATGCCCAATATGTATTAGACTCAGGTTGCAGCCGTTCATCGGTATATCAACAGTAAAAACACCGCCAACCTCTGTGAATTGCGGTAGACAAGCGGTTACATACAGCATAATGGTTTGTGATGCATGGGGTGTGGCTTCGAATCACGGGTCAAAATTGTGGGCAGGGAGGTTTTTTAAAGGAAAATAAAGCCTGAATGTTATAGGAGCCTAATTTCACACGTGAAGTTTTTATGGTTGGTTGAGCATCTTGATGTCATGCATTGTGCTTGGTTATGAACCGTGGTTTGGCTTCATACATGTGATTGCATAGCTCAAATCCATCCAAAACTTACAAGTTATTCTTCTTACCTCCGGGTGCTGTACGATATATGGCACTATATCTTACCTAACCGTGGCAAGTTCAATTGTATACTTTTCGCCGGTAAACCGCCACTCTCATTGGCTGAAAGTTTTTCGCAATACAGGCTATGCACGGACGTCACGTGCGCAACACACAAAGATAGCAAAAGCCCAACAAACCGCGGAGCCGCCATTACTGAGGTCAACTGGTCAAATCACTTGCATGCCACTCGTGCAAAGGTTGTGCAACTTGTTTACATTTTCTTGATACCTGACAGACCACATATTTGGCAAGTACTTGCTTGCACCGTTTGCACCGTGCTTGCGATCTGTTGCAGTAGCTCCATGATCGCTGGCTCGTTGGGCTATAGGGACCGTTAACATCATGACTAGGTTGTCAAAGTATGCAGAAGATCTTCCAGGGGCCGAAAAAGCCAGGTACGCACAAAAACTGGCAAGCAGTGGCTTGGATAAAGATCCATATTATCTCGATGCCAAGGACCTGGATGTATCGCCGGCTGTCATTCCACAAGTAAAGTGGAGTGATTCGTTTGTATGTCGACACCGAGCGACCATACACGTGAGGAAATACAAGTTTGAGACTTGATATCTGTACAGACAGTAAGCATTTAAAATAATTAAATAAATTAAAAAATAAATAATTAAAATAATATAGGCCTAATATTCTTGTGAAGTTCGGATAGAAACCATACATTTTTAACTACTTGGGAGCCAGATCAGATTCTTCATTTTCATCTTTCAAGACCCAAATTTTGGAATTTTATGAAACAAAGTTCAGCTCTAGCTTTAAATCAGATAATATATGTACTTGGGTGTCTAACTGTCGCTGTGCTGGCTGTAAATATTAATAAATTCCCACTTGTCTTATTTTTCTTGGGGGGGAGGAGGTCGTCATGTGGTAGGATAGCTCTGTAGAGGTGCTGGTCACCTGTGCTGTTCCATCTTGCCATTCACTGGCTTTTTAGCACGTTGTTTTTTATACCTGTCATCTGATTGTTGTGTCATGTCAAATGTTTTATGTATATGTTTGTAATGTATTAATTTTTTGTCTTTACAATAGCCAGTGGAAAAGTGTAATAAAATAAATAAATAAATAAATAAATAAACATACCAGTATCATCTGAATTTGATATCAGTCTAAATTCATTTTATGCTTTGAAGCCAACAGTTTTGCTACTGAATTGTCTTCAAGCGGCTTTGCACAAAAGTAACAATTTACAAGCCCCTTACTGCTGCTTTTCAGTGTTGTTGAATTAATTCTGAGAGAACAATTTTCCCAATCTTAATCTCTACTTGGTTAAAAAAAATTGATCAAAAAATTTCAATGAGGGAGTCCAAAAATATTTCACCGGTCAGTTGGTGAAAATCCCTTAAGAGTGTGACACTTTGACTTGTACCTGGCTATGAGGTTTATCATGAGTTGCATATACAGACATCACTAATTTTTCACAACAGTACTGGTAGGCCTATGTCTGCTGTCAGAGACCGATAACATGTCCAAAAGTAAAAAGACAAATTTAGTAAGAAAAATACTGAAGCATTTACTAAGAAAGCACTTCGAATTTGTTAGACCATGGTCAGACCAGTCCAACGGGGTTTTAACACAGGGAGTCAAGTGATGTCCGTATAAGGAACGGCTTCTTTCCCGAGTTTTTTATTTGACCAGTTCCGCACGAACGTTGAACACATGATAAAGTGTCGTCCCACTCGTATCACTATGTTTATCGAACTCTATCCGTTAAGCCAAGTCTTTATCGTAAAAACCTGTGCTTTCACTTCATCGAACAAGGGCAAGTAATTAATGAATATTTGGCTCACCTGAGATAAAGTGTGCTGAACACACTCCCGAAAACTTGGAGGGTGACCATCCGTGTCGCTTGATGTTGCTCAACGACTTCAATCTTCTAGCCGTCAATAATATAATGTTTCGACTTCTCGGCCCTGAGATTTTACCACGACCAGAATGCAGTGGAACGACAGACCATGTTCTTTCCTCCATGGACAGACCCTCTTATCTCGTCTTCGGCTGGAACAGCCAACCACGCAGCAACAGTATTCCACATTCCAGTAATTAATGGTTAATGGAGAATGACGATGAACACCAAAAATTAACAGGCCTAATCCAACAAAAAAAAACTTTGAATATAGCTTCACTAGTGTAGCACGGACTCCCGCTGGTAGGGCTACTAATAATTTGAATAGTGAGTGTCCACGAAATTAAATGGCCGCGCCAGGCGCGCTGGAAAAAATATTACAAGCTTGCTTGACCTCAGTGAGGGCGCTGTCGCCAGTATATGCATAGACTTTTATGGCTGCAGACCACTAATTTAAGTGAACATTTCTGGCCAACCATTAGCATTAAATGTTCCCCCCCCCGCAGTATCTTTTGAAAAAGGAGATTGTTTGGCCCCCAAAATGGTGAGATTGTGTAAATCCTTACCAGGATCAACTCCTTGGGTCTTTGAGTTTTCATATGAGAGCAGAATGGCTAAAAACTACGTACGGTAGGGGGCTTGAATTAGTGGACTGTACCCTTATTGGTCATCGGTTCATTCCAATCTGGAAGAGAAACCTAAGGAAAGTCAAAGGTCGACAAAATCAACAGAACCATTGCAACGCGTACAAAAACTGAGAGAGGACCAAAATGACCAAACAGCGCGTTTGAAATTCGCACACGTACCTCTTTTTTCTCTACAAACTTGAAGACGTCAAGATTTGGCAAATTGAGTCAAATTAGTGTATTTTGGGCCTCCGTAAACCCATTTCGCCCTGTTTGCACCGTTTTTTTTTCGTTTTTGCGCTACAGAGAAGTTAAGATTGGCTCACATTTTCTCCCGAAATTCCGTTCGTTCTTCTCTGTAGCGCAAAAACGAAAAAGGGCAGCGCAAAGCTGCGCAAAAGCGCCTGAGTGCTCCACCGAAACTTTTGTCCGTCGCATTCCTGGAGTTTTCGGCCCTCACCCCGGGCCAGAGGATCTTCCGCCCGTTTTTGACGGAAACGCCGTTTTCAGACGTTTTTGCCGTCCTCTCCCAGGCCATGCAGATGCGGTGGTGCGATGACGTATGCGTGACCTGTATAATTGTTGGCCAATAAGGTCAGGATAGGAAGGAGCCTCGGAACTCGCACCCCGGCAATCGTGACGTGTTCCCGGTTCAGTTGGGGAGACACCCACCCTTCACGGTCGGGGGGGGAGTGAGCAAAACTGTTTTATGCATAATGCCTTTTGGTCTGTGTTTCTCTGTCGCCTATTTTCATTCCTGCTTCTAACAAGCGGAACTTGAGAAATTGCACTTTCCCCATCAAAAAATCGAAAAAAAGAAAAACCATGTCATTTGAATTTTTATGAGGGGAAAAGACACCAAATGTGGGATTTTGTGGAGCTTGACTTTGCAATTGATTTTAAAAGACCAAAAGTTGCGTCTTTCTGAACAGTGTGTGTAAACTAGTTGCTGTTGGTTTGAAGTAATTGACCTTCATAATTGTGCCTCTCTGACCGCTTGTGTCTTGAGTTTGGGCTTTGCAGTATTTGGAAATGACTCTCTGGAGTTTTATGGTCCAGATGTCACCAAATGGAGTCCTTTCTTGGGGGTACTTAATTACTGTGTGGAGGTCATTGTGCACGGTCAAGCCGATGTCGGTATTGAGGGATAGACAACCACAGTGCAGGCTGGCCCCAAAAGGTTTGAGTTATTTTGTAACTTTTTTGTCTAGGTTGTTGCAGTAAGCCATCTGTTTATTTGATGTATTTGATGGATACTGGTTCCTTTGTTTACCAAAGCAGGTGGTGTGTATCAGTCCAAGTTTTATGACCTTTTTCCAGGTAGATGGATTAGTGTAGTGGGTGGAGTTAGCACCTTTTTAATCAGCCCCATCCCATGATTTCAATTCAGACCTAGCCAATTAGCAGCTGGCAAGGTCGTTGTGGATACACATCTGACCAATAGCATGTCTCGGTTCCCATGTGCTGAAGCCAGAGCAAGTTTTACGGTGTTTGGGCACGAGGATGCAGATTTTCAGAGATTGGTGTCACTCCGATTCTGATGTTAAGAAGAGTGAGACGGCCTTGCAAACTCTTGAAGCCAGTCTTCCTGAATTCTTTTTTTTTTGCATTTGAGACCACCAGCCACCGCAGCAGCCTACCAGCATGTATGCCCCTCGGTTCAAGCGTTTCCATGGAATCTTGACTCTGGGTACAACTAGCGAGGCCTGTTCCTTTGCCTTGGCCAACCAGGGGAAGGAAAGAAGACCCTGCCGCTTGCCAGAGGATGTCAAGAAGGAGGCAGTGAAAAGGGTGAAGAGGGAAAGAGGGGACACCCAACATCGCCTAACAATTTTGGCATTCACTGAAATACAGTTCGGCAAGTATCAAGGTAAGTGCAGCATCAGAGTCCTTTTACATAAAAAAGAAATGTGTACTATTAGGACTGTATTGTGCCAAGTATTACATGTTCATGTAAGAGCACACTAATCAATGGAAAAGTTCAGTAACGAAAGAGAAGAGACATGTTGCGTTGTCATGTGAATTCTTTTTTGGTTGAAAGAAGATGCCAATTGCCAGCACTGTTCATAGTTGGAAAGCTTTTTAATCACTTGATTTACCTGAAATGGATGCAAGAATACTTGCCCCATCACTCTTTTGAGATTTACCCATGGCACCTGAAATGTGCATGTTAAAATGAAATGCATGCCACGACAGAAGAACATGTGTTGCTCTTAAAAATTGGAAAGAAAGAAGTAGGGGAATTCAACTTAGCAAACCACCAACCTAAATATGAAATGTAGGAGAAGAAATTGGGCGACATCCTCTCATCATTCTTCGAACAACAGACAATCATTCCCACCACAGCGCGCATAACTGGGTAATGAATC